ATTTGCCCTTCAACCTAACTTGAACATATCTACTGTACTTGATATATCTGCTTGCTGGGTGTGTGTATTTCCACCCTCTTTATGATCCTTTTTTTCATACTTTTCATGAGAGTGGTTGTTTTTTTTAGATGGGACATGCACTTTTTTATAACCAATAACAGTATGATTATGGAATATTCTTTTCAGACATCTTTTTTTTTAGCTCTCTCTTTCTGTTTGATAATATCGGCTTCTTAGGCGGCATTTTCCCGATGGAAGGTGGACTCAGTGAAACGATGAAAGAGTTGAATCTCTTTATATGTAGTGTTCGACCCCCATGATGTTGGGATCCGATCCTCCATCAAACTGCCGCTGCCTCTCTTCTTCATGGTCGTGCGTGGGAATGCATCTGCTGTTAAAGCTTTGATTGTGGTGTATACAAGTTAATCTATATTGTAATTTAAAGAAAGCCTTAACTACGTGACTGCTGTTTTTCTTTCATCTCTTTTACTTTCCTTCATTTCTTTTCTTTGGACTTGATATCCATTGAATTTTTTCCTTCTTGGGTTGTTTTATTTTTTCGTGATTGTTATCATTTTCTTTTTTTTCATTAAAGATATATTACCCAAACGGGCATGTCTAAGTACCTACCATCTCAGTGTGTCGTTCTGCGAGACCTCCGTGGAATCGCGACAGTGTCTGTACTTTTCTCAGTGTCGCATTTAGATATGAAATTAGTAGGTAACCGCGGCGTTCCTGCTGGGCCGACAAGCATTATGATATATTTTTGTAATAATGGAATGTCATAGCTGAGTATCGGGCCGCTATCAACATTGTGGGGCTGGCAGGGAAGCCGAGGTTAATCATGAAGTAAAACATGTTTGACCTGATGCCCTCGGTGCCAGACGTAAGACTTTCTCTCTGATTATCCATATCCTAACTCTTTGATCTGTTTCTGATTGTGGCATCGAAGGCGTTCAGTAAGTTTTTCAATTACTGATATGTTTTATAAGCCAAATCTGGCGGGTTTTTGTTGTCAGTTGATACCTGTGAAGAATTGATGGATGAATTAATAAAGTTGTAAGATGACCTGGAACTTTTATTTCTCATTTTCTCTCTTTATTAAACGTCGGTGATTCATTTAATTCTTCTGTACGTATTGTCGAGTACTTATCGACTTTAATCCAGAGATGTACTGATCAAAATAATCATCTGCTGGCACAGACTATTTTCATATCTGAATATATGTGTGTGTTTGTGTTTGTGTGTGTGTGTGTGTTTGTGTGTGTGTGTGTGTGCGTGTGTGTGTGTTTGTGTGTGTGTGTGTGTGTGCGTGCGTGCGTGTGTGTGTATGCTTGTGTACATATACTAAGAAGATCGTGTCATCTGTTTCGCAAAATAACTGCTTTCTGTCTAAAATGGTTCATTTGTGAAACAGTGGCAGACTTATCACTTTGAAAGAACGAAATTCATTTCTTTAGACATACTTTTTTCCTCATTTCAAAATTACGAAATAGTCAGTCTCTTCCTTATTTGGCTAGAATGAAATATAGAAGCGTGAATAGAAGAGTGAATTTTACACTTGATAATGAACAGAAAAAAAATCTTAGATTAAACAAAAATATTAGATGGAGTTTGATATACCATCTATACAAGAGTTGAATGGATTTTTTTTCTTCCTTTTTTCTTTATACATCAAAATGATATTCAGAAAACACGGAAGCTGACAAAATGTAGAACCGTTGTTTACAGCCAGAGGACATTTCGCCTATTGTTCTACGTTGGCTGTGTTTTGTACGCCGGACAAAAGGTTGTTCAAAAGTGTAATGAGTTTTATCACAATATCAATTTGCGTAGGAAAATTTGAGAGCTGCGGTTGCCTGGTCGTTGATTTTTCGAGTGGCATGTGGCGGTGTGTTAATGGAGTATTGTACGTACTTGCGTTTCCTCTTCATATACTTGATAATTCATGTTTCTATACAGGATCTACGTCTGTTATGTTAGTTCTAAACCAGATTCGCCTTTAATAAAGTTACGGCGTGAAGAGAAACTCCTCATTGTGTGTGTGTGTGGGTGTGTGTGTGTGTGGGGCTGACATACATGCATGCATGTATCAACTGATTATTAACAGAGAAAATCTGAAAGCTGAATCAAGAAGACTAGGATGAACAACCTTTTTGTTTCCTTATCGCTTCTCATTAAAATGATATCAAACTGTTCAACACAACACAAAAAAACACTTTCTTTTTAATAAATACTAGAGGCCAAAAATTCACTCTACCGCTTCAGGATGAAAATGTCACGTCTTACTTTTAACAAGACATTGAGACTTGTGTTTGGCTCACCCTCTCCTGTATTCTTCACATCTCCAGCTACATTATAGACTGCCTGGCAAAAGGGTCGACTTTAAAACACGTTATGGATGTTGAACTATGCATTGTATTTTACATTAAAAAAATCACTCTTTATACATCCTTCGCTGGAGAAACTTACAAGTCGTTAGGACTGGTTTAAGACAAAGATATATACCAGAATAAAGTTCATTGTTTATGACAAATACAGTGTAGATAATATGAAATGGTGTATGGAAGGAGTCTTACTGTAAATATTGGCTATTGTTATAAATGCCAACTCCATCAACAGTGCCATGCAATATTGATCTGTTATTATGTAAACGTGGACTTTCCAAATAGCCTCTCTCTCTCTCTCTCTCTCTCACTCTCTCTCTCTCTCTCTCTCTCTCTCTCTCTCTCTCTCTCTCTCTCTTCTCTCTCTCTACCTATCTCACCCTCTCTCTCTCTCTATCTATCTCTCCTCTCTCTCTCTATCTCACTCTCTCTCTCTCCCTTTCTCTCTCTCTCTCTCTCTCTCTCTCTCTCTCTCTCTCTCTCTCTCTCTCTCTCTCTCTCTCTCTCTCTCTCTTTCTCTCTCTCTCTCTCTTTCCATCTCTCCTCTCTCTCTCTCTCTCTCTCTCTCTCTCTCTCTCTCTCTCTCTCTCTCTCTCTCTCTCTCTCTCTCTCTCTCCGCCTCTCTCTCTCTCTCTCTCTCTCTCTCTCTCTCTCTCTCTCTCTCTCTCTCTCTCTCTCTCTCTCTCTCTCTCTCTCTCTTTCTCTCTTTGCTAAATAATCAAATTCCTGTCCTGTATGGTTATTTCAGAAAGGTTTATTGTCATTCTTCAAAATGTAATATTAAATTCTGTCCATTTTACACTTAGAACATAATGATGCTCATGCAGTGAAAATACAAATAAATTTTACAAATGCAATGAAAAAAAATAAAAATAAAAACAAGCTAAAAAAAACAATTAATTATAAAGTAGAATAGTAGTGTATAAAAAAATGATAGAAACTAAATCTGCACTATGTCCTAATAATGTATATATTTATATAAAATCTCTACTATAAAATGTGTTAAGCAACAATCGACAATATCAGGTTGATGTGTTCTTTGAGTGAAAAGAACACGAATCATTTCAGGATTAACAAATCATGACTCCAAGGAAATCAGTCCTGAAGGCTGTACATATAAGTAGGTACAGATGAAGTACATTTATGCACTACAAAATGAATGACAGAAAAAGTGCTGGAAGTGTTACCAAGACCGGCACTATAGCAGTTTTCTTGGCGGAATTCTGTAAAAGGAGATTGGCATAAGGTTATTAAGAGTCACAAATAAATAAATAGATAAATAAACATTGGGGTAAAATGATTAAGGAATAAAATCACAGGTGTGTTCTGGTTCTTTCAGTATTTAAAGCTTTGTTCCTTTAGAATTTCTTTATAAGATTGATTCATGCACTGACCTTTTTCTCTCCCCTTTTTTCGAGAGAGGAGAAAACTTTTTTTTTAACTTTTCATTTCAACTTTCAGGCTAAGAGTCATTCCAACTCTACTGCATAATTAAGATCAGAACTCTATCTATCTACCTCAATCTCTCTCTCTCTCTCCCACTCGCTCACTCGATCTCTCTTTCTCTGTTCCCTCGCGCAACCTCTCTCTCTCTTTCTCTTTCTCTCTCTCTCTCTCTCTCTCTCTCTCTCTCTCTCTCTCTCTCTCTCTCTCTCTCTCTCTCTTCTCTTCTCTTCTCTTTCTCCCTTTCTCTCTTCTCTTTCTCCCTTTCTCTCTTCTCTTTCTCCCTTTCTCTCTTCTCTTTCTCCCTTTCTCTCTTCTCTTTCTCCCTTTCTCTCTTCTCTTTCTCCCTTTCTCTCTTCTCTTTCTCCTTTTCTCTCTTCTCTTTCTCCCTTTCTCTCTCCTTCTCACTTTCTCCCTCCTCCTTCTCTCTTTCTTTCTCCTCCATCTCTCTTTCTCTTTCCTCCTTCTTCCTTTTTCTCTCCTCCTCCCTTTTTCTCTGTTCCTTCTCCTTTTCTCTCTCTTTCACCTTCTCCCTCTCCTTCTCCCTTTCCCTCTCCTCTCTTTCCCTCTACTCCTTCTCTCTTTCTCTCTCTGTCTCCCTTTTCCTCTCCCTCTCCTCTTGCCTAACTTTCACTCACTCTTTTCCCCCTAATCTTCTCCACTTTCTTTGTCTTCTCCCTTTCTCTCTCCATTTCCCCTCCCTTTCTCTCTCTCCCTCTCTCCCTCCCTCTCTCTCTCTCTCTCTCTCTCTCTCTCTCTCTCTCTCTCTCTCTCTCTCTCTCTCTCTCTCTCTCTCTCTCTCTACCTCTCTACCTCTCTACTTTTCTCTTTCACTATCCTTCTCCCACTCCCTTCCCTCTCCTACTCCCTCCCCTCCCCCTCCCTTTCTCTACCACTCTCCCTCTCCTCCTCCATTTCTCCATCATTCTTCCTTACCACCCTCCCTCTCCCCCTTCCCCTCCCCACCACTCTTCCTCTCCCTCACCCCCCTTTCAACCACTCTTCCTTACCACAGTCTTCGCGATGTACTCAGGGCATCCTAGTTCTTCTATCTTAAGGTTCGTAATATCCACCGTTCGCATACTGGCCGCAATGCAGTTGTGTTTCGCGAACGACTTGTAGGTTTCCCGCTTGGCGAAGTCACGCAGCCACGAACGAAGCCACATCAAGTCACACGAACACTCCAGTTGGTTGTCTGTCGGGAGAAGGAGAGGAAAAAAGGGCGGGAAAATTGGTTAGAAATTTGGTGAAATAGATTTTATTTATTTATTCATTTATCTATTGTATGAAAATAATAATGAACGGTTTGTTAATGTGAAATGATGGCGGTGATGATAATTAGAAGAGAAATGGTAATGTTACCGTATATATGATATTCATCGTGGAAGCGTGGCCCAATATTATCGAGTCCAGCAAAATATCATTTTCACGGCATATCTATGCTATGCTATAATAATAATAATAACAACAATGATAATAATGGTGAAGGTAGTAATAGTAATAATAAATATTATTTTAATGAGAATGAGAATGATAATTACGATAATTATGTTAATAAAATTTATAGTGATCACAATAATGATAATAACAATAAAAATAATAACAATGATGATGATGAAGATGATAATATGCAAATAATAATAATAAAGATATCAATATTAATGATAATAATATAGACAGTAATAATAAGAGGAAGAAGAATACCACAAATAATAACAAATAATAATCATAATAACAATAACAACAACAACAATAATAATCATAACAACAATAATCATAATAACAATTACAATAACAACAATAATAATGCTGTTGTTAATATAAAAAAGACTCATCTCTGCCGAACCAACAACTACACAGATAAAGAGATAAATAGAGAAAGGAGAGAGCTTTGTCAAAACTTGCAATCGAGGGAGATGCAATAGTGCACTCGAGATGGACCTGTCGGCGTTGAGGGGTCGAGACAGCTTACTCGTCGGTTTAAGGAAGGGAGAGGGAGAGGGAATGAAGGAGAGACGGAGGGACTGAGGGAGAGAGGGAGGGATTGAGGGAGAGAGGGTGAAGGAGAGGGAGAGAGGGAGGGAAAGGGAGAGAGGGAGAGAGAATGAAGGAGAGGGTGAGGGAGAGGGAGAGAGGGAAGGATTGAAGGAGATAGGGAAGGAATGAGGGAGAGAGGGAAGGATTGAGGGAGAAAGGGAGGGACTGAGGGAGAGACGGGGGGAGAGGGTGAGGGACTGAGGGAGAGGGAGAGGGAATGAAGGAGAGACGGAGGGATTGAGGGAGAGGGTGAAGGAGAGGGAGAGAGGGAGGGATTGAGGGAGAGGGAGAGGGAATGAAGGAGAGACGGAGAGATTGAGGGAGAGAGGGAGGGATTGAGGGGGGAGAGGGGGAGGGGGAGGGAGAGAGGGAAGGATTGAGGGAGAGACGGAGGGATTGAGGGAGAGAGGGTGAGGGAGGGATTGAGGGAGAGAGGGTGAGACTGAGGGAGAGGAAGAGGAAGAGGGATTGAGGGAGAGATGGTGAGGGAGAGGGAGAGAGAGTGATGGACTGAGGGAGAGGCGAAAGTATTGAGGGAGAGAGGGTGAGGGAGACTGAGGGATTGAGGGGGAGAGGGGGAGGGAGAGGGAGAGACTGAGGGATTGAGGGAGAGAGGGAGAGACTGAGGGATTGAGGGGGAGAGGGGGAGGGAGAGGGAGAGACTGAGGGATTGAGGGAGAGAGGGAGAGACTGAGGGATTGAGGGGGAGAGGGGGAGGGAGAGGGAGAGACTGAGGGATTGAGGGAGAGAGGGAGAGACTGAGGGATTGAGGGGGAGAGGGGGGAGGGAGAGGGAGAGACTGAGGGATTGAGGGAGAGGGAAGAGACTGAGGGATTGGGGGAGAGGGGGGAGGGCGAGGGAGAGACTGAGGGATGAGGGGGAGGAGGGTGGGGGAGAGGGTGGGGGAGAGGGAGAGAGGGAGAGACTGAGGGATGAGGGAGAGAGGGTGAGGAGAGGGAGAGACTGAGGGATTGAGGGGGGAGAGGGTGAGGGGGAGGGAGAGGGAGAGACTGAGGGATTGAGGGGGAGAGGGGGGGGAGGGAGGGGAGAGACTGAGGGATTGAGGGAGAGAGGAGAGACTGAGGGATTGAGGGAGAGAGGGGGAGGGAGAGGGAGAGACTGAGGGATTGAGGGAGAGAGGGAGAGGAATGAAGGATTGAGGGGGAGAGGGGGAGGGAGAGGGAGAGGACTGAGGGATGAGGAGAGAGGGAGAGAGAGGGATTGAGGGGGCGAGGGGGAGGAGAGGGAGAAGAGGACTGAGGGATGAGGGAGAGAGGGTGAGGGAGAGAGGGTGGAGGGAGAGGGAGAGACTGAGGGATTGAGGGAGAGAGGGTGGAGGGAGAGGGAGAGACGGAGGGATTGAGGGGGAGAGGGGGAGGGAGAGGGAGAGGGAGAGACTGAAGGATGAGGGGGAGAGGGGGAGGGAGAGGGAGAGATGAGGATTGAGGGAGAGAGGGAGAGGACTGAGGGATTGAGGGGGAGAGGGGGAGGGAGAGGGAGAGGACTGAGGGATTGAGGAGAGAGGGAGAGAATGAGGGATTGAGGGGGAGAGGGGGAGGAGAGGGAGAGACTGAAGGATTGAGGGGGAGAGGGTGAGGGTGAGGGAGAGGAGAGACTGAGGGATTGAGGGGGAGAGGGGGGGGAGGGAGGGGAGAGACTGAGGGATTGAGGGGGAGAGGGGGAGGAGAGGGAG